TCTCTCTCTCTCTCTCTCTCTCTCTCTCTCTCTCTCTCTCTCTCTCTCTCTCTCTCTCTCTCTCTCTCTCTCTCTCTCTCTCTTTCTCTCTTGTTGCGTTAGCAAAATTTGCTATCCTTTTCGGGAGTCCCGGGATGCACCCTGGAATCGAGAAGTTTTTGAGCTTCACATAGCACACACGCGTATGGTACCGTCGGGCATTTCATTTATTTATTTTCATTTATTTATCTTCATTTATACTTCCCGGTCCTTTTCTCTTTGTTCTTTTTTCCCTTTTTTTCCCTTTTTCTCATATCGTTCCACCGCTGCACCTCTTCGAAGTGAGCACCGGTCAGACCAGTTTGATTGGATAGATTCCGAAGAGTTTGGTTTTTGGCGGGCTGCTGCCCGAGGATACGCTTAGTATGTACACTGTTTGAATGCAGAATTTGAATTTTGTTTTCTGTTTGCTTGGCCGATTGATAAGTCAAATGGTCGACCTGCTACCTGTCGGAAGGACGGACTTCCGGCATGTACAAGTAGTGACTGTTTCTTATGTTCGAGATGTTTGGCAGATTTTTTGGCACTGAATGTTTGGCGAACGAAGATATTGGTATCGGACGACCTCCTTAGTCGTCGCGAGAACAAGTATGTTAGTTTGGCTGATCGAGAATGCACCTTTACCGATAAACAGGCAATGAGGATCATTTTTTTGTGGAAAAGTTCGAACTGTGCTAATCTGGACAATTGGAGGAAGTGGATAGATTCAGATAGCGATAGGCTTTCCTTGTCCTTTCGTAGGCTGTTTTATTTAAATTTCCTTTTTAATTTCTCTTATTTAGACTATCCCGAGCAAAGGAATGCCGCCACATAGGTAGGATGTAGCTCTATTGGGAATGATGGTAAGCTTAGGTGAGTCCGGGTGAATAGAGAGTGGGTTTTGTGAAACTTTTCGGTTCTTATCAAGTATCGAAGTACGTACACCTAGGGAGTTTGGTGTATTTAAGGAAGTACGGGCCGAGTCTTCGTACACTTCCACTGGGTTTGGTTGGTATCTTTTTGGAAGCCCCCTGATGAGTTGCTGTCTACGCCAGCAACGAAACGCGTTGGGGCGACGCGTACGACGAGCAGAGATGGTGGTTTTTTGAATGTATGCCGGGTTTATATGTAATTTCTTACGCCATACTCTTTTGTCATCTTCCTCTTTTACAGATACTCTTTGAATCTCTATGAGCGTGGTAACCGACGTGTTTAGATAGTGGCTCGGTGGCTACGTTGTGGTTCGTGTATAAGTGACCTCGAGCGTGATCGTCTTCGAGGCACACGTGCAGCTAGTTATGATCGGTTTGAAGGCGAAGAGTTTAGTGAGTTACGGTTGCGTTGTCGCCATTACTCTGAGTAGTTGCGCATGGATTCAAGGATATGGGGATAAAGGATTGGGTGGTGGGTGGACCTTTGATGTACGTATTTCGATTACTTGGAAAGTGATTGAGAAGCATTGATAGAGGGTGTTCACGTGGTTTGGTATAGCTTAGTATAGTGGGGTGGGAATGTCGACCAGGAACTTTAGAGATATCGAATTGGAGCGTCAGTGGTTCGAACTCCAGCGATTAGTAGAGTATACTCTTACTCTGGCGTTTTTTATAGCTTTGCACTTCCGCGACCAGAACTTCGCCGAGGAAGCCATTAACCTGTTAGAAGAAGTACTGGGACGGATACACAGCGTGGGTTGTCTATTCAGGAATCAGAGGTTTCAAAGGAGGAGACAAGAACGGAGACACAACTGATTATGGCTAATCCTCAGCAGGGGACGCAACAACCCTTTTCAGGGTTCAACACGAATCCCGTACCTATAAACACGGCTGGTCTGCAGGCTGGCTCAGTCTCGTGCCATTTATGCGGCAAGTATGGGCATTATGCCTGCAACTGCTGGGCGGTGGGAAATGGGCGCCCTCCGTAGCATTTTCAACACCAACAACATACGGCACCTGAGATGGACGATGAGACTAGCGAGATGAAGGCCTACTTCCGGAAGAAGATACAGAAGCAGAAAGTCGAGGAGGAGAGACGGGAGAGAGATCGTGAAGAGCAGAAGAAAAAACTTGACGAAGAAAAGAGAGAAGCGGATAGGCTGCGGGAGGCTGAGGCCAGAGAAGCGCGCTTAGAGGC